ATTATAATTTAAAATATATAATATTGCACAAACAACCAAAAAGTTAATTAAACTAAAGAAATAATTACAAAGAGAAAAACCCCACCCTGTCAAGAAAAGATTCAGCATTCTCTCCATTGTACCACCTTCACTGAAGGTCAGAAGTGGAAATGACTACCACCCCTTGGCATCCCTGACCATGATCCCTTTAATTCAGTGGTGAGCACACCAGAGTATGTACAAGAATCACCAGAGCAGCATCGTGAAGCACCAGGGTCTTGTCTCCAGGGATTCCTGCAGCCCCTCATTCCCCCAAGAGAGGGGCAGCTTTACCAGAGTGGACAGTGAGAGCCATAGAGGGTGGGTCTGTCTTTAGGAAGAACTTTTGCAGAAGCATGGTGAGAATCTCAAGAAGTTCACCCTCAGCACATCCCCTTCAAGCACAAGGGTAGGGGAGGAAGTGTTGGGCTTACCAGATTTGTTAAGTACTCAGCTTTGATCACTGCTCTGTATCTCTGGTAAGCTGGCTTGTGTCCTAAACTACAGGGAAGTCAAGGTGGGCAGTTGGTTGACCAAGGTATCCCACCAGGCAATGTACAAGGGCCTCAAGTGATCTCCTCCCTTCCTAGGCAAGGGAAGAAATGCAAGAACAGACTCTTGCAGGTGGCACAGCTGGGCTAAGGACTTAGGTGTATCTGACATGAAGCAGCCTTGGGAAAGGCCTAGGGACATACCAGGGCTGGGATGGATGAAAGGAGGAAGCAGGAATTTAGGGTTTGGTCTTCCGATTCTGAACCACAAAAAAACTTTTCAGGAATGGAAAAAAGGGGTGGGTCGAGGAAGTGATTCCCAAGAGGAAAATTTCCCAGAAATGAATGCCTCTTAATCACTGGGATGGGATGGGAGCCCAAATATGCTCTGTGTCCCTTTCCAGTCAAGGACAGGTAGCATGGCCTTGCTTGCCTACTCATGGACAGAATGTGTTGTCTTGGCTTATTCCAAGAAACTGGTGGGTTAGCTTCTGTCTATATAAGCAGAAGGGCTAGAGCTAGCTATCCCTTGGGACTTCCCAGCAGGAGTTTCCAGAACAGTGGGTGTTAAGCTGAGAAACGTAGGCTCTTCTGGTGAAAAGGGTAGGTCTCGTATGATTGGCACAAGTCAGAGTTCCTGGCTTGGATGCAGAGAGCCCCTTTGCAGGTGTGGACAGAGGTCCCCTTTAGGTGTCAAAGAGTCAGCAGGGAGCAACCCAGAATCTGTGCCCAGAGCTCTGGTTGACAGAGGCCATTTGGGGGACATTCATAGTCAGTGTCTTCCAGAGCCAGGCTGAGGTGAGCAAAAGAGGTGAAAGGCGCTGTGCGTGAGGGAGCTGCTTGCTCTGGCACCCCTCATTCCCAGTCCTCCCATTCCACATCTTCCAGCTGCAAATGGGAGGGAATAATGGGGAGCACAAACATATATTTAAGTCTTCTGAGTCAAACCCAAATCTATCTACCCTTGTTGAGTAGGGCTGCCTCAGTTTCCAACAGCCCTGACACCTGGTCCCTCTCTGAGACTTTAACACCAAATCTTATGGGCTGTGTGTGGGGAACAGACCTGCCCTTTGCCTCAGGATCCCAATGGAATGCATCCACAAACACCGAACACTACAGGGGAACACCCTGCCTACTGGAAACAAGTCAGTCCATCTGTTCAGGAGAACAAGTCTCTTGCTGGGTGACTAAGGCCATGGCCCTGAGCTCACTGAGTCTTCAATCCTCTGATCCTTAGCTCCAGCTGGAGTCTCCCCGAGGAAATGTTCTTGACTCATTTTCTCTCTTGGTCTACTGTCAGATGATCCCTAGTATGACAGGCTATAGGATGACTGCTCAGAAATAATGTACATCAGGTTCTATAAAGGTCTTCAAAGATCCAAAACCTCAACAAGACCCCACAGCAAGACAGAAATCCATGGACCTTCCCTGTCCTGGGTAGCGTGAGGCCCCAGGTACAAAATACTCTTGGGTAGTCACTACTTCCCCCAGACCTCAGTTTCCTAATATGAAAATGGAGGTCCTTCAAGTCTCTCTAATTTGCCCACCTTTTTAGAATCACTTGATGGTAGAAACCATGTGGTTTGTGGGTGACAGTGAGAGTAATGCTAACTTGAATCAGATGTGTGGCCTGGAGCATCAATCCTGTCACTTGATAACTGTGTGAGTTTTAAATGGTTCCAGCCTCTCATTCAAAATGACCCAGGTTTGACTCTGGGAGATGACGAGTAAGAGTAATAAAGCCTCTTTGAGCTTTGTAAATGGAATGGGTTTTGTGGTGCTGCCAGTAAACATCCACTGGTAAAAGCACATCTGTAAGCATTACTTCAATGATATCAGGTCTGATCATTATCAACCTCACATTTTACATGAAGAAACAAAGGCTCAGGTGAGTGACCTGTCCTAGATCTCACTGGCCAGGCATCTGAAGACCACGAGACAGAAAGGCTGGAGCAGGGTTTTGGTAGCTGTATGCTTAAGTACTTCCTCAGGTGATTCTGATGCTGAGCTAAGCTCAAGAACTCTACTATCCATCCACCCTGGAGCTGAGGGGAAGTAGAGCCCGCTGACAACTGTTCTGGGCCTTCCTGAAGCTTGGGACATAAGATACAAGGAATTCACACTGAGAAGACAGAGGACAGTGTTCTAGACTCCAGGACCACTAGGCTTGCTTCCTTGTAGCTAACCAGGCCCACTCACCTCTCCAGAGGCATCCACTTTGGAGAGTGCCATCTGCACTTCTTCTTCGGTCATGTCCAAGTCAAAGTCCTTCTCCCAGTCCTCACTGATGTCTGTGCTTGAGCCTGGAACCACAATTCACAGTATGAACAGAGGGAGGGACAGGGAGTGGTACCTGAAGTGACTGGGCAAGAGGTAATGGCATGCTTTAAAGAAGGTTTGACTGACACACATCAAAAATCTGTCTTGATATTCTGCTTTCCGGCAAGTGGGTCAGTGATTCCACCGTCAGAAATCTATTCTAAGGGAAAATCCTGGATTCAGTTACAGATTTAGCTAAAGGATGCTCACTGAAAGTCTAGTGATAGAAACTTACTAAAATAAATAAATGGTGGTGTTAGATGATGGGACATTATCCAGTTTTTTAGTTTTTAAAAGGGAGCTAAAACATTTATATATATGGTTGTTGTTGTTGTGGTGTGCCAAGGAGTCGGTTCCGACTCACAGCGACCCTGCACAGGGTTTCCGAGGCTGTAAATCTTTACGGGAGCAGAATGCCTCCTCTTTCTCCTGCAGAACAGCTGGTAGTTTCGAACTGCTGACCTTAAGGTTCACAGCTCGATTCCTAACCACTACACTACCAGAGCTCCTTTACCATTTACCATTACATGGTAAATGGGCTTAAATGATTCAGTGAGAACTAAACAGAAGTACTTTGCTCAGAGACTGCCTGGGAGCCACAGAAATTTCCCAGAAGAAATAAACAGTGACCTTGTTTCCTCCCCACCCAGGGTGCCTGCTATTCTTTCAGCACCCCAGGTGGCACAGCCCCACCTTAGGGCCTTTGTATGGGCTGTTTCCAGTAACCCACCACTCTTCCTCAGACAGCCACATGGCCAACTTCCTCACCTCCTGCCTACCTATGCTCATATCTCACCATCTAAATGTGGCTTAGGAATCCTGGTGTGGTATTGTAGGATAAACACAGGACTGCAAGGTCACTTGAACCACAAGGTCGGCAGGGTTCAAACTCACTAGCTGCTCCTCTGAAACGCTATACAGAGTCACTATGAGCCAGAACCGACTCCACAGCACTTAACAACACACATGGCCTAGCCTGATCATATTATTTTAAATTGCAAATCATTCCCCTCACTCTCCGTTCTTTTTATTCTGTTCTAGTTATTCTTTTTCACGTTGTGTTTAAATATACATTTACATATTCTAACATATATAATCAGACTCACCAATTTAGTAACTGAGAAGCTAGATTGTAAGCTCTACGAGGGCAAAATACTTATTTTCTGATGTATTCTAAGTGCCCAGAACACAGTTCACACACAGTAGATCCCCACGAACCCTTTCTCTAAACCAGGGGTTGGCAAATCCAGCTTGGCATCTGTTTTTATAAAGCAAGTTTTTGGAATGGGGTCATGCCCATTTGTTTACCTATTACTCACTGCTGCTTCTATGCTACAACGACAGAGGTAAGTAGTTGCCTCATGACTGTATGTCCTGCAAACCCTAAAATAACCACTATCTGGCCCTCTACAGAAAGTCCCCCAATCCCTAATCTTGGGGATTCTGATGAGCGCTAATGTTTGAAAACCACTGTTGTAAATATCCATATTTTGGTATGACTTCTTACAGGCAATGTTATGTGCATCTCAAAGTTATTATTAAGAAGCAAATTGCATAAGTAATTTCTTTGAAAACAAACCAACCAAGCACCTGGTATATACAGTATAAGTCAGTACAATTATACTGCGTATACCGTGTAGATTGTAAACATACACTCACAGGTGTATATATATACAAAAGACAGGCGTAAGATGCAGACAAAAATACTAGTAAAAGTTAGCTCTAGGAGATGGTGTCACGGGTGATTTTTCTTGGTGACCCCCACCCCCCCCTCCAAACCCGAGCACATGTTATTTTGTAATAGTTAAAGTCACTACTCTTCTGTCAGTGTGTTGTGTTGTGGTGACTTGCATGTTGCTCTGATGCTGGCAACTATGCCATTGGTATTTCAAATACCAGCAGGGTCCACCCATGGTGGACGGGTTTTAGCAGAGCTTCTAGACTTCAGATGGACTAGGAAGAAAATGTGATGATTTACTTCCAAAAAGGAATGAATGAAAACCCTCTGGATCACAACAGAATCTTGTCTGACCCAGGACTGGAAAATGAGCCTGCTAGGTTGGAAGGCCCTCAAAATACACAATTTACAACTAAGGGCTCAAGCACACCTGATCACAGGGGATGGTGCAATGTTTCGTTGTTGTCAGTGGAGTTGCCATGAATGGGTGTTGATACTACAGAACTAACAACAAAATAGCTTTTCGGGTTTTTTTTCTTTCTAAAGGCAACTTTTAAAAAGAGTCCTTGGATCCCTCAGTGGGATGGCCTGTAATCATCTTTATTCTTCTTGTCTTACAGGCACCCAGCCTCTCAGACCTCACCTTAAACCCTGCCCCCATGTTCCTAATTGGTTTCTCACACTGTCAGTTCTAAGCCTAGCTAGCCACAGTGTGGTAAGAGCATGCGCGGTCTTAGAAGCAGCTGACCTAGACTGAATCCTTACTCCTTTATCTATTGTGTAGTCTTGGGCAAATATTTAGTCTACTCCTAAAGTAAGAATAAAACCACTCTATTTGAAAAGAATCTCTAAGAAGCTTATTAGAATATAGATTTCTTCCCCACTCCGACTGAGCAGGTACAGGTGGGGGCCTAGAATTCTGTATGTGTGTGATCCTATATAGACCTCGACCCACTGTGAGAAACAAGTGTTAGGATTAGAGGTGGGAACGTAAGATGCCCATTACATACATTATCAAACTAACAAACAAACAAACCGCACTGTCATGGAGTAGAGTCGGACTTATGATGAGCCAGGTGTGATAGGGTAGAACTGTGCTGCACAGGGTTTTCAGTGATTGACCCTTTAGAAACAGATCACCAGCCTTTCTTCAGAGGCACCTCTGGGTGGATTCAAACCTTCAGCCTTTTGGTTAGGAGCCAAGCATGTGAACTGTTTGCACACCCCAGAGACTCCATGACATACATATAGTCTCACTCATAACTGTTAGGGCAGACTAGAACAGCTCCTTAGGGTTTCCGGGGCAGCAAACCTTTATGGGAACAGACAGCCTCATCTTTCTCCCAAGGAGCAACTGGCTGGCTAGTACTGGACTCCATAGTTAGCAGCCAAGTGCTTAGCCCACTATGCCACCAGGACTCCTTACACAGACAGTGGTGCCAGTCAGAGGCAGAGCTGCAATCAAGACCCTTTGGCTTCCTCACATACTTGGGGGACACTCATTTGGCTACCTGTCAGTGCAGGTTTCCTGTGGGGATGGTTGCTCCAGTCAGAACTTTGGCTGTGGCTTGGGCCTCCCTCAAGTTGTTGCCCTCTAGGGACCTGAAACTCCCTTTCCAGGTTTGCCTTAGGGCAACCCTTTGCAGGGTGGAAAAGACAGTATCAGGTAACACCTCCGGGGCACTTCACACTCACCCTCTAGAGTAGGTATTACCAGTGCTAGTTTACAAATGGGACATGAAGCCTTCAAGTGGCAAGGCCTCAGGTGAAGCTGGACTTTCTGCCACCTGCCTCCTCCCACCACCCTGTCCTGTCAGGGAAGGTAAGTACACCACTATGAAGGTGGCAGAGAACGGAGTTTCACAACAATGACTTAAGGCTTCAGGAGGGAGAGTTCTGTTTTTTATAAAGAGGACTTCCCAGGTGATTGCTGGCCTTGTAGTGTGGTCACTCACAGCTCATTTTAGTCTGTGTAACTGGATCACTGTGTCTCCAAGGAAGAAATGGAGGTAAAAACCGCTTCCAGGTTACACAGATTATAGGTGGTGAATGAGGATGCTCCTTCCAGTGCTCCCCATCCACCCCCTCACAGCCTCTGGTCTTCACTCTTAGATAGATGGAGCCTGTTGTTGTTATGTGCCGTTGAGTCGGTTCTGAACCACAGCAACCCTGAACAGGGTTTCCAAGGTTGTAAATCTTTACGGGAGCAGAAAGCCTCCTCTTTCTCCCGCGGAGCAGCTGGCAGTTTCAAACTGCTGACCTTGCGATTCGCAGCCTGATTCGTAACCACTATGCTACCAGAGCTCCTTAGATGGAGCCTAGGGCTCTGCAATGACAGATATCGCCCTGGGATCCTGGAACACTGCGGCTTGCTTATAGCCTCATGTCCTCCTAGGATGTGACCCTAAGAGGGAAAAGGAATCATTTTGACTCCAAGCTCCATTCTTCCTTTTAAGATTTATCCCCTTTATTCTGTTCCCATTGCCCCTTGTCCTGGCAAGACTCTGGCTACCCCCTATCTGACACAGCTGCTTCAGTGAGTGTTCTCATGGAATCCCAGCCCCTCTCTCCCCACACTCTGAAGGCATCCAAGGCAACAGAGTAGATTAAGATAAGACACACTGTACCTCCACTTCCAGCATCCAATCTCCAACTGCCACAATTCCAATCGCAATCTTTAGTAGCCCAATTCCAAATGGACCCTAATTCTTCAGTCCTCTCTCTCACTATCTAGTCCTCATCTCCTTCTTTACGCAGTTCAGATCCCTTGAACCATCATTTTGACCACTTCTTCCATAAGCTGGGGCTCTCTCCTTCCTCCACTAATTTCACCTGGCAAATCTTGAATCATGGTTAAAACCAACTCCCTATGTGCTCTGGGCCTGCACCCGAGCAACTGAATGTAGCTGGGCAAAATTACAATGGTAATTTTGACACCAGCAATATGGTGTTGACTGGTATCACTTAAAACCCATGACCACTACCTCAATGGGCCCTAATTGCCACCAGTTGCAATCCCACTCCCTTTGTGGGGTCTGTCTACTCCCCTACTCTTCTAAAGGATCATTTCACACTTTTCTCCTGGGCAGGTGATTAAGCTCATTTTCCTACCAATAATGTATGCAAAAAACAGCCTATCCCATGGGGCTTGTGTGAGGATTGAGTGATATGCACAGTGTTTAGCAGAAAGCTAGACATATAGACAATGCTCACAAAACATTACCTCTTCTTTTTAGCATCATCATCATCTTCTCAAAGCAGAGCTCTAGCCTAGTTATTTCCTATATGGTGAAACAATTACCTTCAATTTCTAGAGGAGTAAACAAAGGCTGAGAGACTTAAGTCAAGCGGCTTATGAACAACTTGGGATTTGAACTCAGGCCTGTCTGAACTCTAGAGTTGGAGCAATTAGCCTCCATGTTCTGCTGCTTTATGGCAGCAAGTCCAACCTCCTGAAAACAGTATAAGATTTTAAGCTCTTAAATTCTATTTCTGAGCCAACCCAGCCACCCTTCCTGGGAGACAGTAGAGAGAAGTGGACTTTGATCACTACCCCTAAACATGCCTCATGCCCCCACCCCTACCCCAGCCTGGACTATCACTCCCTTGCATCTGCCCCAAAGTCTCCAAGTCTCCTATACAATGCCTGTCTCCTCAGTGAAACAGCACTGGTGCCCAGAGATTCTTCTTTCCTTGAATTCCTCCGGTACCAAGCCTGTCTCATAGGCTTCATGCTTCATCATAAAGACTGCAGCCTTTGCCCCTCCCACCTCAGTGTCTCATAAAGAGAAGGTAGGAGCCCCATAGATGACCTCACTGAATCACTCAGAAGGAAAACAGTGTGTTAGACACTGGGAACCCTGCCGTTTTCACTGGGGAGCAGGGGAGGGGCGTGGCAGAGCCCATTTCCCAAACACTGCAGCAAAGCAGTCCTTCCCTGCTGGGCAAGCTTTGGGCCTGTGACTGACAATGGGAGCCAGCAAAGTGAGGAAGAGTATGAGGGGTTGAGGGGTGGTCTTGTTGACAATCCTGTTCATGGTGAGGCATTTGGATATGACAAAAAACGGACACTAGCAATATTAAAGGACACCTTGTCCCTTAATTCCAGGAGTGAAAGAAGTTCCCTTTTGACACAAAGTCAAAAAGTCCCATCTAAAATTCTATCACACAAGATAAGAAACTAAAGCTCTATTATTTAATCTGAGTCCCAGCAAATTCATGAATGTTCATTTTATTCTTCTCAAAGTGTACATCTAAGTCTCATCTATGCATTTCATAATAATGAATGGAGGCTCAGGGAAAGGAAATGACTTTAAGGTTACCTAGAGAAAAAGACCCTTGACATCAACAACTCAGGCTAAGGATGGAAAGGACACAGAACCTGAAGTCAGACAGACTTGGGTTTGAATCTGGGCTTGCCACTCGCTGGCCATATGAGCAAGCTAATAGTTCTGAGTCCCACTGTCTTTATGTGTAAAATGAGGACAATAATACTGGCCTCACGGAGTTGTGTGGTGTGAGAAACAACTGCACTATAACACACTTGATCTGGCACAAACCATTTTTCATTGATGCTTAAGACCCCATCTATTGTAAGATGCATCCTCATTTCAAAGAATCAGTGCATCTTAGAATTGATGAAATGTGCTTACACCAGCTACCTACCATCATCATCCGTATCACAAATGAAGGAATTCTGTTTCTAGGACTGCAACAATGGACACGTAGATAAGTGTGCCTTGTAAGGTGGTGGGCCTCTAGACATACCTTTCTTTCCGTTGTTGGAGGGGGTGGACTTCCCACTGTCTGAGTTCAGCTCAAACACCCGTAGGTCTGTGGGCGCCTCCTCCCTTAGAGTCTCTACTCTGGCCGAAGGCCTGGGTTCTGGACCACAGGGGCGGCCAGCAGGGTTTAGGGGCTTGGGGGGAGATGGTGGTGGAGGTCCAGTCTCGCCCGCATCCACAGCCAGATTCTGTTCCTCCAGCGATGCCTCCAGAAGCCTTTGGGACAGGTCTTTGGGAAGCACTGGTGCCTCAGGTGAGACGGCAGGGTTGGGAATCTGGGTCACAAGGGAGATGCTTTCACTGCTCTCTGATGGAGTCACCTCTGCTGGGGTCTCAACTGGAGTCAGCAGCTTCTCTTCACACGGGATCTGCGGTCCAGCTCTTCCTTCTGGTGAAGTGGAAGTTTTGGTCACAGGGACCTTCGCCTCTTTTAGAGATGTGGGTGAAACGCTCCCAAGCATCTCTGCAGAGAGAAAAAGGTAGGGGAAATAGGGCGGGACACCTTGAAGAACCTTGAGGCATTCTTGGAACCCTCTTAAGACAGACTTCAGTCTCCTGCCAAAGTTGATTCTGCTCAAGGTTAAACAGCACCAGTTTTTACCGTCCCTCATCTCCTTCCCATCTTGGCTTTTCTTCTGTAGACTGTCTCTAACTGTTAAAGTCCCTCCTACTTACTGGGCCTAGCACAGGTCTGGTAGACACTTTCACCAGTGCAGCCCAAGATGGTGTTAGACATGAGAAAGCTAAGAAATGCGAGTTTGGTTTTGGTTCAGTTTGTGCTCTGTTGTATCTTAGGTACCTGATTTTGGGCAAATGACTTTCTTTTTTCTTTAACTTACCTACTTCATTCTTGACAGAGGGATAATGGAGTTGTAGTGAGGGCTATGCATCTAGGTAATCTGGGCACATAATATAAGCACTAGTAAATGTGTTGTTATCAAGCAGCACTTTCCTAAGTTGAGCTACCACATAGAGAATGTTCAGCAAACCTCCTTAAGCCTGTGGTTCCCAACCTGGCCAGGGACTGATGTTACTGGAGAAACTTGTTAAAAACTCAAGTTTGCCCCTACAACTCAGCAACAAAAAAGACAACCAACCTAATCAAAAACAACGGGCAAAGGACTAGACAGACATTTCACCAAAGAAGACAGTATGCCAACAAGCTCATGAGACGACGCTCAACAGCATTAGTCACTAGAGATACATAAATCAAATCCACAATGATTCACCATCCATGTCACCCCATCTATTTCATAGGATGGCTATGATTAGAAATATGGAAAACAAGAAGTGCTGGGAAGGTTGTAGAGAAACCCAAACCCTCATCCACTACTTGTGGAATAGGTACCACACCACTACCTGTAGAAATCAGTTTGGCAGCTCCTCAGAAAGTTAAACATGAACTACCATACGACCCAGAAATTCTAATTCTAGGAATATCCATCAAAGAACTGAAAGCAGGTACACTGATATTTATACAGCAATGTTCATCCCAGCACTAGTCACAACAGTCAAAAGGTGGAAACCCAAAAGATTTTATAAATATATAAACATATCATAGAATATTACTTAACCATAAAGAGAAACAAAGTCCTGCTTTATGTTACCACATGGGTGACTGAGTGAAATCAGTCAGACAAAAAAGGACAATTATTCTAAGATCTACATGAAATATCTAGAACTGGCAAATGTAGAGCCAAGTTTATTAGTGGTTACCAAGGGCAGGGAGGAGGTGGGTAGGGGGAGTCAATGCCTAGGGACACTGTGCTTCTGCTACGGGTGATAGAAAATTTTGGAAATGAATAGTGGTGATGGGTGCACAGCATGATGAACATAACACTAAATTGCACATGTAAAAAATACTGAAATGGCAAACCTCTGGTTATATATATTTGTGCCCTAGAAAATTAAAGAAAACAGAAGTTTGGATCCATCCTTACATTCTTAGTTAAAAGGTGAGGAAGGGAGTCAAGATATCCAAAAGCTTCCCAAGTAGCCAGGCCATAGGCTGGTAGGAGACTTTACTCCAATGACATATGATTTCTGTACCTAAACCCAGGCCTCCCCCAGCCTTGTTAAGAATTGTCTTTGCTAGCCCAGCCTGTCCTTAGCACAGACAAAACCTGGACTCATTCTTTACCATTCCCTGCGACCCCAAGTCTCTCCAGGCTTCAGGGAGTGCGGCCCAGCCAGTCTCCCAGGTTACTTGCTCATCATCTCTCAACACAGCTTACCGTCTTCTTCCTCCCAGCCAGGCTCTTCAGAGATGCTCTGTTCTGCCCGCTGTTTCAGGGCATCCCTCCGGGCCTGCTCCTAAGTGTGGGGAAGCAGATGGCCAAAACAATCAGGGTATCCTCTTCTCAGACCCTGGTTCTGACACCAGAATCTTGGCACCCTGTGTTCCCTTCTTCCCTCAACAAACTCCAGCCTGCTACCCGCAGGGCTGACTGGAGTATTTCCCAAGTTAGGCCAGCATACCTGCTCTAGTTGATGGACTTTATAGAAATACCGATGCCAGAATTCGGAATGGGAAACAGCTGCTGGGACCTGAAAGGAGGGGGAGTGGGCATGAGACTTTGGGAGTGGTGATGTGGGTCTCAGGCACAGTTAGTGGCTCCCACCCCTCACCCCCAAACTTTTAGTCAGACCCAGCTTCCTGGCCCAGCTTGGCCATGGAGGGAGAACAGAACTTGCATCAGGCTTACTGACTTTTCCATTTCTCACCAGTCTCTGACTGCCAGAAGCCTGGCAAATCAGCTTCTCCCAGGTGGATTCTTGGCTCAGAAAGTGGCTGCTCTGGCCCTGCAGGGTCTCCCATTGCTCTCTGGCCAGACGACCCCATATTGTCTCTGGACATGTCTCTCCCACCTCCCAACACTTCAAGCCTGGAGCTGGACCCTCACCATCTTGGTATAGAGGGCCCGGATGGAGGGGCTGCCTATAAGGAGCTCTGAGATCTGCCCCTTCTTCTCCTCCAAGCAGAACTTGGAAAGCCAGGCATCAAACAATTCCGGGGGACCTGCAGGACAGACGTTGATGGTCAGTGCTCAGGGCCTGGGAAAGAGCACTGTGTCTACAGAACAAACCTAAGCCTGGACATGGACAATGAGAAAACCTAAGGGTTTTTTCAAAGTCTTCTGACTTAGAGAATTAGGAGGTAGGGTGAAGGGGTGGGTGGGGCACCTGAGCGATGTCCAGTAGGGGCTACAGCCTCCACTTTCTCACATCCCTGCTCACTTTGTAGCACCCCCTGCACTAAGCTACTGAATCCACTCCTTTCTGAAACCGCTCTTCTTAGTCACCAGTGACCCCGTTTTGCCTCTTCTTCCTGTGTCCAGTCTGTAGGTCCTGACCCTGGGAACCACTGCCTTCCTCTTAAAGCCCTTTACTACTTTGGCTTTTCATTCTTTTCACGTCTCTGGGTGTTCCTTCTGAGTCTTCATGGATTCCTCTTTCCTTTTGGCTCTCATCTCTCTTATTCTCTATTTTCTCACACGATAACCTCCACTAAGCCGTGAGTTTCAACCCTTCCCTCCACTGACAATTCCTCAGTGCTCTGTGCAGCCCAGACCACCTTATTAGGCTCTAGATCCACAGGACCAGTCTCCTCTGTATCCCACCAACTGTGGAGGTCCTGCAAACCCACTGTGAGCTCATTTTCTTCCTTCCCTTCCAGATCATTACCCTGGAAACCTGGAGGCCAACCCAGTCTCTTCTCTCGCCCAGTCACTATGGATATCTCTCCTCAGGGTCTCTTGTAAGCACATCTTTTTCATTCCATTTGCTCCTTCCTATGTCCTGACTAGACTCTGGCTTCTCTATCCCTCCAGTTTATTCTACACTAATGATACCCCAGCGATCTTCCTCAAATGCAAATCTGAGCACCTCACACTCCCAAACCCTCTAACAGTTCTCTGTGGGAGAGCTTTTTAAAGCTAGATTCTACAGATAAGACTTTAAAGGGTCAAAGAATTCCAACACAAAATTTTGTGGGCAGTATTTTGGAGATGGCATCTGTCATTTTCGTAAGATTTTCAAAGGCCTTGACTAAAACTGGAACCTGTTAGGACTAATCTGACAGATAAAGCCCTTCACACCCAGGTTTATTTACCAAATGGTCAACACTCCCTATTCTTTATGGGCCTTCAGACATCTTCTTCCTTGGTTTGAATACCCCTTCCTCACTTCCCTGTCTACTTTGAATTCATCCTTAAAACCCCAACTCAAGTGTCACTTTCTGACGGCCCCTGGCTGGTTGTGTGTCTGTCATTCCTCTGGGCTCCTCGGCCTCCTGACAGTACTCACTCTACTCTTTACTGACTCTGCTTTAGTCACTGTTTCTCTCTCTCAACAGATGATCCACAGGGCTGGACGGGGCTTCAAGGTTTGACCCATGTCTAACCACTAGCTCCAAGCATGGAGTTTAGCAAACAGGTGCTGAAAGGAAAGCAGGCAGGCAGCAGGGCTGGGAGGGAGCTTGAACTGATGGGATAAGGGATGAGAGGAACAAAGCCTCTGCAGACAGGGAGGAAGACACTGAGTTCAGGGATGGAAAGAACATCAACCCGTCTCATTCCACTGGCATAAGATACACACTAGCCCTACTGTGGTCCCTCTATGTAGTGAGTGCTTGGCCTCTGCTGCCTGAGGCAAACAGGACCCACAGACCAGATCCCTTTGGTCTACGTGGCCTGTAAGCCCGCCCTTCCCCCTACCCCCTCACCATCTGGTTCATTGCAGTAGGTTGCTGGGTCTGACTGCAGGCAATAGAGGCGAGCCTAAAAGAAACAGAAGAAAGAACCTAAATTCTGGGGTGCTGGGCATAGAAAGTACCCTTTGCCAGGGTACCCACTCAACCATAACCCAGCTTCTCCCATAACCAGCCCTTTGCTGCCACACCCACAGGACACTGACACCTGGGACATATGTAGTAGAGAATTGGGTGTGTCTCCCCAGTGATCCAGTTCTGGAAACTAGGAAAATACAGTGGAAGGAGGCTAAAGAATCATAGGTATGAAATGCTTTTCAATCATGTGAAATTTGAAGCATGAGTGAAACTATATTAATAAAGTCCAAACGTATGGGCAAAGGTTGAAATGATGCAACTCCCCACAAATGAGAACCATTAGGAATTTCATAGCCAGTCTGCCAAGTGAACTGTAAGCTGGGTTCCCACTGGTGCCTCAGCATGGCAAATGTCAGCTGGAAAACAGAAAGCTCCTTCTGCTGTTCTCAGCATTTCCTGAAGCCTGGGGCTGGATGTCTGCAGCAGAACTTCTCCAAGCCATTTGGGTTGCTTTCATTTAAAACCTAATCGTTGAAAAATTTCACAATTCAACTCACAAGTTCACTAAGTGGTGGTGCTAATGCTGGAAAGCACGTTTGAAAACTCAGTACATTTGGAGTGGAAATTTAGTGTGATAAAATGCTACAAAGAAGGCTGAACTCTTCATTGAGAGAAAACATTCCATGAAATAGGATATGTAATGGTGAAAAAATAAACTGTGGTAGAAATACACTAGCTTGGTTGCTGACTTAAGTGCTCTGAGGATATCCTCCCTGCTTTTCATTTATTTCTATTGGGAATTAGTCTTAAATAGTCAAAATGTGGAACATATGCTGCAAAGATGTTCCCTCCCACAGCACTCTCTACGGTGGCTGAAAGTGGGAAGGAATTCAGATGTGCAACACTAGGGAACGGGTTGAACAAATGATGCCATCTTCACTGCAGACTTTATCGTCATTAAAAAGGATGGTGATGAAGAGGCTCAGAGTTTGTTGTGAAGCTTTTTTTTTTTTTAAAGCAGGTTAAAAATTGTACAAAGTCCCTTTTTAAAAAGAAAGAAATCCCAAACTTTGTTTCTGCCTTATGTTTTTTTCTTTTTCCTGCCTATGTTTTGCTAGCAAATAGAAATGCAAGATTATACACCAAGAAGTTTGTGGTTCTTTTGGGTGATGGTATCATAGGCTCAGAAATAATTATTTTCTCCTGACATTTCAGTATTCTCTAATTATATGAGGGTAAGTCAAAAAGTATTGCTATAAAATCATAGCTACTTTTACGTAACATAAATATCAAAACGTAGAACCATTGTTTCTCACCATATCTCTTAATACACTTCTGAAGATGGCATTTCCATCTCTCTAGCCCTTTCTTGAACAATTCTATGTTTTGATTAAACCACAACAAAACGGCAGTTTTGGCATCCTCGAAGGACTCTTATCATGTTCCTTTTGAATGCTGAGTTTGGGGAACAAAAAGAAGTCTAATGGGACAGTATTTGCTACCTTCAAAGAATGAGGAGGTGCATTGTCATGATGGAAAAAAATCCCCTGGAGCAACTTTCTCGATCTTTTCCTCAACAACGCAGTATTCAATTTCCTTTAGTCCTAATAAGCCCCCATTCAGCATCCTGTATCATCCAAAAAAATCTATCAAGCTTATCCTTTTGAAGTACCAAAAAAACATGCCATAACTTTCCAAGCTGACGCTGTGCCTTGAATGCATCTCTGAGATCTTCCAAACCTCACATAAAGTACTTAATCTAGCTATATAAATTGTTGTTTTATGTGGGGCAGCATCCTCATCAACTTGTAAAGCTTCAATGATTTGAAATATGTAAACTTAAGTTTTGTTATTAATTCTGACTTCAAAATTTTTTTTCCAATGGCATAAAAAGTACAAGAGGGCTTCAAAAAGTTATTGGAAAAATGGAATGAAAAGATAACGTACTTTTTCCATGAATGTTTTCAAGCCCTCTTGAATTCTTTCTTTGAAGGCACCCTAATGAGACTAAGATAAGTGTACTACTGAGAGAACCAGTCTGTAGCCATCCACTAATTGCAGAGCCATGTTAAAACACACTTTGTTTGGCATGAACCTGTACATGTATGGACTGGAACCCTAGTTGCAATACTTTCTGACTAACCTTCATATACATGTATTTTTAGGCTGGCCATGTGTTGCTTTCATGAGTACAGGTTGGCAATGGCAGAGGAAGCCCCCAGAAAATACCTTGGTGCCATCGTAGGGCTCTGCTGTGCCAGAGGGCGTGCCCATCAGGGTGATGACATCACATTCGATGGTTTTGTCTGGTGAGGGGGCAAAAGTGTCTGAGATCACACCCAGGAAGTCGGACAAGCCCTTCTTCATTTTCTCTGTTGCTCCTGAGGACCCTTCAGTCTGTAAAGAAAAGTTGGCAGAGGAAGCAAGTGCCCTGGAGGCAGGATGCAATATGGGGCCTGAGGTGTGGGAGGGAAGCATCAGAGTGAAGGTATTCTGTGTGTGGGGACTAGGGAGTGCTTACGACCTGTGCCTCTATCTCTGGGGATGGGGCACACAGTCGCAGCAGGCCTCTGGAGGGTAGGGCAGAGATCCCTGACTAGCTGTTTCATCAAAATATCAAGACCAGTCAGGCTGACCTGAAGCGATGGGAGAGGATCCATGCCATAGAAAGTTCAGTGGGGAAAATGGCCTATAGGTAGAATGGTGGAAAAGCTTTGGAGTCAGACCTAGATTTGAAGCCCAGTTCTACCACTTGAGTCTGTTTCCTTATTGATAAAATTTGGATAAATACACATCCCTCAATACAGTAACTGTGAAGATTAAAAGGGTTAAGCCAAGTAACTTATATTGTAAATAGCTTATATTGTAATAATTCATTATTATCATTGCTCAGAAAGTAAAGTATTTTATAAAAAAGGTTAAAAAGATATAGACAGGATGAGAACTGATAATCTTGCCCAAGAGCAAGCTTGGGACCAATTTGGGACCAACATATGGCCCTCCTGGAAGGGGTGAATAAGAGATAAAGCTTGAGTCACACTGGTTAGAATGTCCAGGAGGACAAGAGTTCTCAGGAGACATCTAGGTCAACTGACAAAACAAAGTTGATAATGTTCTACATGCTGGTCTGGTAAGTAGTGTCTGGGGTCTTAAAAGGTTGTGAGCAGCCATCAAAAAAGCAACTCTTGGTCTCTTCTCACCTGGAATAATGAAGACTCAAGAAGCAAGTAGTTCAAACGACTAATGGTTCACAAGAACCACAGCTGCCTCTAACGTGAGACCAGAAGAACTAGATGGTGTCTGACTACCATTGCCAATTACTCTGACCAAGACCACAAGAGAAAGTTCCAGTTAGAATGGGTAAAAATGTAAAACAAAATTCAAATGAAAAACAAAACAAAATAAAACCAGAATTACAGGGCTGAAAGAGACTAGAGGAACCCCTGAGACTATCGCCCTGAGAAAACTTTCTAACTTGAAACAGAAGACACTCCCAAAGACCATAACAGATGGGCCTATAAGACAAACAGTAATACCCATGAAAAATGTGCTCCTCAGAACATTCAAACCAAAAAGGTGACATTTGTCCAAAACCAAAGATAAGAAGACAGGGCAGGGCAGGAAAACCAGACAAAAGGAAACGGGGAACCCAGGGAGGAAATGGGGAGAGTGCTGACCCATTGTGGCAATTACAACCAATGTCATGGAACAATCTGTGTAGGAACTGTGGATGGGAAAACAAACTATGTAAATGTTCACCTAGAGCACCATGAAAGCTTAAAAATAAATAATTAAAAATATCAAGTAGCTTGCTTTCCATTCCAAAAATCCATTAAGATCCCTGAGCTGTTAAAAAAAGAAAAAGAATGCTCAGTGGTAGGAACGGGGCGCTGAGAGACAGGCTCAGGTTGTCACAGAAAACGAACATTTCCTCCTGATTAGGCTGCCCAGACATTTTAAACCTAGAAGCTACCACAGTGCCTGGCACCTGTTGACACAAATACAATCATGTTTGCTAAATGAAAAAAGGAATGAATGAATAAAAGAAACAAATGGGTCTCCGCTACTAGCTGGACTCCCAGCACTTCAGCAGGCCCACAACTTATCTATCATTCAGGCTCATCGGTAGCTGTGATCAATAGGCAAACAGTATTTTATAAAAACAAAAACAAGAGCCTCTAAAATGCATATTCCAATATAGCCTTTTATCACAATGCAATTAATTCAGCAGGTACTCAAATGAAGACATAAAAATCTGTTCTAATGCTAAAGGAAAAACTGCATCCCCAAACCAGAACACTGTATTTCACTGGCAGCTTAACATTTACAGGGGTATCTGCTCATATACAATTTTCACTTTTCCTATCTTCTGTCTCAAGAGGGGATTGTTGGTGGTATATCTCTGACTAATTAAAATCGAGCCAGTAAGACTATAAGTCGGCACAGTCTTTCTGGAGGAAAGTTTTGCAATAGATTTTAAAAGGTCTAAAACTATGTTCTACCTATGATCCCTTTCAATACTTTGCTATAAAGAAAGTATGACAATGTGCAAAGATTAGAAATCACAATGTTCACTGCAGCTCTGTATACAGTAATAGAAAAAAACTGCAATAGGAAACTAGGAACTGGTTAAATCCACATAATGGAATACTACACCATTCATGATGCTGCAGAGCAAGGATGTTTGTGATTATGAAGTCAAAGAGTAGGTTACAAAACACTAGTCAGTTGATCCCAGTTTTGAAAAGCAAAGTGTACATAAAGGATCGTTAGTCGTTGAGTGCCATCAATTTGGTTCCAAGTCATAGAGACCCTGTATATGGTTTCTGAGGAGCTGCTGGTGGGTTTGAAGTGCTGACCTTGCGGGAGATGGAAGTATGACTATCTCTATGTTTTTCTGTTTTTGTTTGAAAACCTGTATTTCCTAAATTGTCTACAGTGAATGACTTTGCTAAAAAGAAAATATATGCTGACGTAATACACAGGTGGGAAAGGCAGGTATTGCTTAGTACACAGCTTGTTTAACACATATCTTTCAAAATGTGAGCCTCTGGGCCTAGGGAGAAAAACAGCCACTAGCTGCTGAAAGCCTGGGTGTCCCCTCAGGTGGGTGAGGCTGTGAGGGGCAGGCCACTGGACGGTGTGGGCAGTACTCACGGCCAGCTTCTCCTTGACCACACTGGCCGTAGCTGCGATGGTACAGGCCGTGTCATGCTGCACCACCTGGGAGAACTCTGTCAGGTCTCGCTTCATAAACTCCAAGGCTTCGGAGGACTATGGGAAGACGGAAAGGGATGTCAGAGCCAGTGGGTCCCACCAGTCCTTGTTTCTGCTGCCTGTGATTTTTTTGTAACAGACTGACACATGGAAAACTCAGGTGACAAGGAGAGTCAGGGCTCAGAAACAACAAAGTTCACTTCTCCAAATTCTGCGACCTGGGATTACCTGAGAACACACACAGCTGGGGAACTTCCTGCTGCTCTGGGCACGAGGATTGAGCCATAGGCCGACACTTACAAGCTATATGGCCATGACCAGCTCATCTTTAGCGCTCAGTTTTCTATAATGAGGAAGGTGGACTAGGTCAGTGATTCTCAAAAGTGATCTGGGAAGGGGGCACATGTAATCTGAAAACAGATCTTGACTCATTGCTTTGATAAGCTTTAAGTCATAATATTTGTTTCAAAATTTAAATAACCTTCTCTGGGGTGGGAATCATGCCTCTACATCATACTCAAAAACCCAAACACCAAACCCATTGCTTCTGAGTCAATTCCAACTAAGAGTGATCCTACAGGGCAGGGTCTCCAAGGCTGCAAATCTTTGCGGACGCAGACTGCCACTTCTTTCTCCTGCAGAAAAGCTGGTGGGTTCAAACCACCAAGCTTGCAGTTAGGAGTTGAGCACTTAGCCACAGTGCCACAAGGCTCCTTCTCTCAGACTCAGGGATTCTTAGTTAGAGGTGGGGGTACCATTTGACTCTTGGCCACCCTGCTCGTTCATCTGGATTCCTCTCAGGTGTCGTTCCTGATACTTTTGCTTCATCCTGCTCATGACAGTCAGAGGAGAATGGAGGCTATCTGGGACAGCTGTCCAAGAGAAGCTGTCGCGAAACAAAAAGCTCTGGGGAATGGACAGTGGAAGCAGGCAGGGAGAGGAGTCACCCAGGAAGTGTGTTTAGAGGGAGTAGAGTAGTGGGCTGAGGACAAGGCCCTGCAGAACACCGCCTCCAAGGGGCAGGCAGAAGCAGAGGAACTCACCAATCAGTAGGAAAAATGGGAGAGGTAAGTGAAGAACCCAAAGAGAGTTATGTCCTAAAAGCCACAAGGGACGAGTTTTAAGAAAAAGGGCGTGAGCACCAGTGGCAAATGCAGCACAAATGTCCAGGAAGATAAGGTTGGGAAACGATCTACTGGGTTTGGCAAGTAGGACATGAAGCCGAGTGTGAATAGAGATAAGTTTATAGGTGGTGGCTTCAGGGGTGGAGCGTGTTAAAAGAGATCATGCTTGTTGGCTTCAAATTTTTTAAAAAGTAGGAAGTGAGGTTTGTCTCCTGAAAGTGAAAAGGCAAGTGGTTAAATAGAGGACTTGAGGGGAAAGTTAGGTTTGGGGGAAGGTGCTACAGCTAAGGGGGAAAGCAATTGAGAGACTTGAAAGGCTTGTTCAGGCTCAGCTGAGGTTGGGGAATCTGTGGTGTGATCTTCCCTCCTAGTACATACTGCGTATAAACACACACACACACACACACTCCAATGGGGAAGGTAAAGAGCAGACGATGGCAGAGTATAGTATTATCTCAGAGTTGCACTTTGACAGTGCTGAGAAGTAAAGTGACCCAGATGGATGCAGGACGGGAGGAGAAGAAAGCAAGGGCAGGAAAGCACTGAAAATTTCAGAAAAAAAGAAAGCAACAATGGACTGGTAGTGTCTATGAAGTTGCCCGGTCACTTTCAGCATTTACAAAAAGCAGTTAACATTTACGCCCATCCACTGCCAGCAAGTCAATGCCAATGCATACGGTTTCTGAGGCTGTAAATCTTTAAGAGCAGAAAGCCTCTTTCTCCCATGAATCAGCTAGTAGATTTGAACCACTGACCTTGTGGTTAGCAGCCCAATACATAACCAACTACGTCTTCAGTGCTTTATACAGAGCATCATTTAATCCTTACAATTCTTCCAGATAGATATTATTAACATTCCCATTTTACTATTGAGGAACTGAAACCTAAAATGCTTAAATAACTTGTCCAAGTTCACATAAAATTAGCTAAAAGAGGAGTTGTTTTTTTTCTTCCTAACTGAGGAATCACCAAAGGAAGAAACAACATCCACCCCATTTCAAACTGGGAGGTCCCTAGGGGATAAGGATGGAAGACTGACCAACTAATTCTTCTTCATGAATTATGGTAGGCCCAACTTTTAAGACATCACATAGAAGCTCTCACTCAACATCTGCTGAATGATTGTAACTTTCCTGCCAAGAAATGGCTCAAGAGGAAGCAGAATCTCCTCTGGGGCTTCTATTAAACCTCAGAGTGACATCTTCTCTTTCAGTTCTCATCAACATCATAAAGCAGCTCAAGGTCTCTAATTTGCTAGGCTGTAGCTGAGACGCTGGTTCAGGAGTACCAGGCTGAGGGAGGAATACAAATATTCCCAGAATAAAGGACTCATTTAACTGAGGCCATAAGCCTCCTGGAGTCTACCCTGAAGCAGGAATCGCTCAGTTGCTTGAGCTAAATAGTAATTAATGTTTCTCACAATTCAGTGGAGCTGGTTTTGACAAACTAACATGTAATGAAACAGGCGCACACATTGGCTGTCATTCAAGGACCTCCACTCTCTGGCCATCAATCTTCTCTCTCCCTAACCTCCTCCTCAAACTCATGGCTACTTTTTAGAACTCATTAGGCACCAGTGTCTGTGGCTCCTGGTCACTTGCAGCCTTGGGCTCTTCCTACTCATCCTATCTTGGCAGGGTTGGCTTCAATGAGGTTCCTTCCCCACGGAGGTCTTCCCTGGTATGTTCTTGACTACTCAGACTAGAACAAGATGCTCCTCTACTTTCCTGTCACAACACTTCCCAAGGCTGTAATCAAACAGCGATTGATTTGACTATTTGGTGAATGACAGTTCTCCCCACTAGACTGGGAGCTTTGTCAGGCGCAGGACTGCATTTGTTTGGTTAACATCTGTCTTCTTAGGGCCTGTCAACGGTGCTAGCTGTGGTACACGCTCTATAGTTGAATGACTAAAAGGAGCCGGGTTTCCCATTAATCCCTTTTCCTTTGTGGTCTAGATCAAATGCTCTCTCTTCCACGTTGAGGTTTTGAATCTCCCGTCTTAGAAGAAATTGCTCCTTACTATGGATCCTTACCAAAGGGTAGCTCTTGCCTTTTAAAACAATCCTATTTCACGCTAGTTAGTATCACACTGGTCTGCGTGGAGATCTGTCCTCCCTTACATCGGTAAGGGCTGAAAAGTAAGGTTGAGGTCGGCCCGGGGCCTGTGAGGCAGCATGGGGCCCTGCAGGAGAAGGGCTGGCGCCGCCCGGCTTACCTTCTCTTTGACTGCCTGGTAGCTCTGCTGCAGCCAGCTCCGCCACCAGCCTACGTCCTCCCTGTGGAAGACAGACACACTGCTGTCCCTGCGGTACCAGCCCTGCTCGCCCGACGATCCGGCCTCAGCTTCCCCCTGAAAAGTGGCCCCCAGGCAGAGGCTTCCAAGACTGCTTACTCCCCCCTCCCCCGACACTGCGACTCCACGCAACAATTTCAGCGCCGTCCACGCCAAACTGTCTTCCTGCTCCCCACGGGGTCCCTAGCCCAACACCCCAACCCTTGGAGAATTCAGGCCCTAACGCCCGGGACCGGAATGACGGGTTTACCCTTCCGCCATCTTGCCCGCATGACATCACCACTATTTACTGACCTTTGACTTCCGACACGGCCCCGCCCCCCTAAGTACCGCCCCGGAACGTTCGGTCCAATCCCCGCACGGACATCGCCCATAGCCCAGTTCCCTCCCCGTTCCATCATTAGGTCCCGCCTCCCTGCTTTCAGTCATGTCTGTGTCCGGAATGCTCCCTTAAACTGATTCCTGAACGCTCGGTCCAATCCGCATTAAACCTAGCCTTAGATCCTGGCACCGAGGCTTGGCCCAAATCCCTTGAACCTTTATTGTTTGTGGATAGGCTGACGTCCGATACGGTGGCCGCTGTGGGACAGGATCGGCCAGCTTGCTAAACGGCGGAGAAATGGGAGCGGAAGGGAGAAAAGTAGGGAGCGAGACTGAAGAATGCCCAGATCCCAAAGTCTACGGCTAGGACACTTTGTAAAACCAGCTGTGTTGCTACTGCTAGTGGTCTTTTCCGGCTAATTCAATTGCGGGGCTCTGGGTCAGGGTTCGGGGTTGTGGAGAAAAAGTCAGAGGTGACTTCGATGCAGCCTCTTGAAAGGGTCCCAGGATATTGGGAGACAGACACACATTCAATTGTCCCAACTGTCTGGCGACCCAGTTCAGAGCTACGAGAGTTGGCCGTGGTCAGGAGAAATCCCGAGACCCCTTGGAGGAGGGAGATTAAATTGGATAAAGTTCGATAGGCAGAATGAGGATATACCTGAGGAGGAACATAGGCTTACATCGCCTCATCTACTAATCCAGATGTATCTGTGTTCAGATCCTTTGCCCCCTGCAACGGATACACTTAGCTAAGGTCAACCCCTTCACTGGGCACTAGATCCCACCCTCTGTGTTTAAGCGTGTAGCTCTAGTAATTCACCCTCTCCATTTTTTCCTCGTTATGGGATTATTCCTGTCATATATGCTGTTATTTCTCCCACTTTAAAAACAAACAACAGTCCCCTAATCCCCTTTACAATAAAACTGGAGTTAGTGGTTCCAGTTTTTATTTCCTGTTCTTTCTTGAACTCACTTCAATCAGGTTCCCTCAATCCACTGAAATAACTTGTGTTAAAGCATTCTACATTGCCAAGAATAATGACCAATTTTCAATCCTCGTCTCGCTCACACCGTCAGCATCTTGCTTAACACAGTTGGTCACTTCCTTCTTGAAACACTTTATTCACTTGATCTCCAGGACACTATGTCCTCCTGGATTTCCTAATACTTCACTGGCATCTCTTCTTAGTATTCTTTGCTGTTTTCTCATCCACTTCTTGATGCTGGATTGTCCTAGTTCTCAGCCCATGGCTCTCCTTAGCTCTGTCTATAGTCACTCTCCAGATAATCTCAAATCCCAAGGCTCTAAAATGCCAAATTCGTTGTTTTTGTTAAATGTCATTGAGTCTGTTCTGACTCGTAGTAACCCTATGCATTGCACAACAGCACGAAACACTATCCATCCTCACAATTGTTAGGTTTGAGCATGTTGCCGCTGCCACTGTATCAATCCATCTACTTAAAGGTATTCTCTTTTTTGCTGACCCTCCGTTTCACCAAGTATGATGTCCTTCTCTAGGGACTGGTCCTTGCTAAAAACACATCCAAAGTTTGAGAGATGAAGTCTCCCCATCCTTGCTTCTAAGGGGCATTCTGGCTCTACTTCTTCCAATGCAGATTTGTTTGCCTTTTTGGAAAAAAATGCCTCCTCAAAGTAGGGTTGACCATAATGACATGAATACAGTTAAGCTCGGGGGAGAAAAGCACACAGAACCTGCATTTGCTGATGGGCAACAACTTAAAATGA